CAGCATACATTCTTATCCACCAAACTATGGGCGATTACAAATCCAGCATTGGTATAGTAGCATTGAATGAAGCAATAATAGTTCAGAAGTGGTTAGTAAAACAATTAGACCACTCAACCTCATGGTCTAATAATTAATTACACTTTTACMATCGCATTTTGTTTTACAGGTTGACCAAAACCACTAAACTAGCAGGACATTTTCTAGCATTTGCTAGAATACTTACAACTGTAAATAATGGTGATGCTTGCATTACTATTGTAGTAATAATACAAGCAAGACTCAGGTACTCAGTCCTTGTGTGCTTATCACGTATAACRCGGTTTAAGTAGTACTCSAGACCAAATGCTAACATCCCACATAAGATTATCAAAGTGAATTGCACACTCTGTCAGAATTAGAAAATATTTTATGTCAATGTTGTTATAAGTGCTTAGTTACACTATACAAAGTAGATCATTTCAAATCTTTGATTGAATTCATTCAGATTAGCTTTGCTACTCATCAATGAGGTTCCAATAGTCTCCTTCATGGTTAGGTGCGCATCTTGACAGATAGCCTTTACATCCAAGCAAGATGACTGTTGAGTGTGCAATGATAGAAACCTTCTTTTCCACCCACAGACGATAATTTACAGGTATCTATCATTACATGCTCAATGGTTGTCTCGCTTTGATGTAAAGGCATGGCTAACCTTTCAAGATGGTGCACCTGACTGTGAAGGAGAGTATTCTTAGATATCCATCAAACAGTGAGATATCTAAACAAAGCACTGAGCAATATTAAAAAACAAACAAACAAACAATAACATACAAGATGCTCATTGAATTGTTGAGCTGCCTACTACACAGGGAATCCAAAATTTCAAAACATACCTTTCTTTTGCTAAATGAAATATAGCACACCATGTAGATTGCTGTCAAACCCATACCAGCTGCATTTACAAACTTGACAGTGGCATCGGCCTTTAAAACCCCATATGCAAACCATAATCCACAACTAGAATTGTAAAAAAAAACATAAATCAATCGTTTTGTTTAATAGGGACAAGGGGCGGATGATCCCGCAAAATTATCTCTGTGTAATTAGAAGTTAGTTACCGCRCGCTTATTAGATCTTCTCAGAGCRCGMGCTCATTGTTTTTATGTTGTTTTGTAAAATGTAATGTTTTTCATTCAGTCTTGATAATTGCTCGGTGAGCCGAAAGCTYGACGAAAATAAATAACTTTTAGGTTGAAGTAGTGCTTACATCGTAATGAATAGACCAACCTACAACCATTTATTTGATATAAATCAATATATTGACCAGTTGCACCTTACACCAAATCTTGTTCCATGGTCTTTTAAATTCAGTCATTTCTCATTGTTTATTAACCAGCTCAATAAATTAATATGCTTAATTGGGTAGCCTGTGGTAAAATAGCCTTATGAATAATTCATACTACTTAAGAAACAACTTACCAGAAGTGTGAAGTCAAGAAAGGCAAGAAAGGCACAGCACCAGGCCCATCATTATCGATTATTTTCTTGCAATCAAGCCTTAATGTAAAGGAATTCAATACTTTATAAAAAGTTTAGTAAACTAAATACCGCACAAAATGGCAGAAAGTTTTAAAATTTACCTTACAAATTTTAGAGCAATAATACACTTAACACATAGCTTGAAAAATAACATGCATGGAAAATTTAAACCATATCTGCTTATATGAACAAATTTTCAAAACACAGAGACCTATTAGTAGGCGTAAGGTTAATGATCGATGCAAAAATAAACTTTGTAAACTTACACGGGGAGAAAAAGCTTGTCGATTCGATCGWATCTCTCAATTGTAATAAATATCTTTTGCTTTCCTTTAAAAAAATAGAATACTTACAATCCTGTGAGGTAAAATCCAATTGTAGTTAGAGTAGCCAACCATGATAAGAACCCTAAGAGACTCATAGTTACATTAAATAAAGCGCGGGGAAATAATTTAGAACACGTACAAAAATTAAAAAAAGTGAGCTGAGAAGCCCTGGGAACGATACAAAACCACAGGAAACCCAATTATCGTTTTTAGTCTCTTTGGTTCTTTTGGTATAAAGGAAGCCCGTCACTCTATTCCATCTTATTGTTTAACGATTTTGAAAAAAAATATATATGCCCGGCCCCATGTAAGGAGTTGTCAATCAAGCTATTTTAGGCTCACATTTTCCTGAAGAAATTATTTCAGCTACGTACACGTGGCGATTTTGAGACCAACCGTCGTCTCCCCAACGACCGCCATCTTGAAAAGGAGTCGGCCGAGATGGCCCTGGGGACGAGGTTGACAGCTCGCTAGATCAGCCAGCGGTTATCAAATTTAGGATGGCATGATGCATCATTTAATAAGCTCGACTAGGAGGTAATATTTAACCCGCGTATGTGCGATTGACTTTAATTTCTACCTAAAAACTGTTGTCCCCTGTCGAGTTTATCAATTTTCCCATGATGTTCTTCGGTGGAGCCACTGAGAAATGTGTGTTTTCTGTTCTGGGCGTATCGAAAAGGGGCTTTCGACAAAATAGAAATGCAAAAATTCGAAAGATTATAGGGTAGCAGTTTCCAAGAAAGTATAAGTTAATGATTTTTTGATTTTTTGAAATGAAAATTAAGCCAATTGATTGCACCTCTATCCGCTAAACCAACTTTTTAGGYTTATGGGGGAATAGGTGTCCTTTTCGACAAGGTATCGCATACACGACTTAAATTTTTTCCTGCAATATAGATGTG